AGTTCACCAAGGCTGTGAGAACGCTACCGATTGACATGGAGAACCCTTTTTAGTTTACGGGGTGTTGCCGTGAACGTGCGCACTACCATTTTGGGTTTGTTTGGGTTTTGGAGGAATATCGGAGCTTACCCTTGGGGCAATTCACACACAGAGTTCATGCGTGCCTCGCTCAGCAAATAGGACCCGAACAACAACGCTCTGCCAAGTGGCATTTTTCGAGCCGTGCGTCGCTTGCGTGCCACGCATGTGACGTTCCACTCTGCTGGCACTTGCTGCAGCAACTTGTGCATCTTGTCCTTGAGATCGAGGCGCTTGAGTGAGTGAGTGCGAAAGCGGAAGTGCAGAGCCGCTGCCTAAGGCGCCATCCCTCCTGGCTTCGCAAGAGGCTCCGTAAACGTCATTGCCTCCTCCACTTGGGGTTCAAGCTGGCTAAGCGCCCCTCAGGATCAGAGACGCAAACAAGTGTGGCCAGGGGCGCTGCTGCCTAGGCAGGCCCGCCACCCGAGACAGCGTCAGGCAAAAGAGAGGCCACTCACATGTGGCATGGGCTGCAAGATGAGCCCATGCAGCAAAATGCCACACAGTTTGCACGCAGCCAAGGAGGCACCCTGGCACCAGCTTCCAGCACCATGAAAATTCAAATTGACCAGCTTCCTTTTGATTTGAAGGGCCTTCAAAGTACATAGGCCTTCAAAGTACATAGGTGGCTCAAGATGGCTCCGGCAGTTGGCCATGGCCGACAAATGCCACGCGACCATGACTTCCCCAATCGAACTGTGAACACCGCGCGCCCGCCGACTTTCTTGTTCCAACGCAATCGCATGCGACTGCCGCCCATATGTCTGGCACGCCCGCCTTATGCGCGTAGCTCTTCACCGTCGTTCTCTAACCCATCGCACTGCGTTGCACATGATGCGCGCCTTCTGCAACGAGGCCCGCAACACTTTTTGTCGCTCAGGCCGACGGCTCAAGTTGATCACCGCTGTTCGCATCTTCATGGCCAAGCTACTTTGCACGAGGCGTGGCGTCGCAACTTGTTGCCGCTTGTGTTCATGTTAGGCTGCGTTAAAACTCACGAGGGCTTCTAGCTTTCTATGTTTCACGCCGAGTAGCTTTCTATGCTTCACGCCGAGCCCGTTCTAAAGAAAACATCAACCCCAAGCATCGCGGCTTTGCTTCGGTACATTTAAAGAACAAGAGTGATTTGTGTTAGATATATGTATATGTAGATAGATATATATATATATATACACACATATGCATGTTGCTCCTCCGAAGGAAAAAAGCATCCCAGATTGTGGTTCACATGTCCAGCATTGGTGTTTACCCTTTGGAGAACCCATTCCCCAGAACCCTTGAAAATTCCTTTCGTTTTTCTGGGCAGTCCCAGAAATGCGCGCGCGGCCATTTTGGCGTTGGTGTTCGCCCTGTGGAGAACACTTGTGACTGTTCGTTCGCATGAACGTGAGAACGCTACTGCTTTGGCATTGATGTTCACCCCTTGGAGAACCCTTTCATTTTACTGGCTGTTCTCTGAACGTGCGTGCTACCATTTTGTGTCTGTTTGGTTTTTGGCGAAACGCATGGAGAAACATGTGGAGAACTACCCCGTGAATGCCTGGAAGCACCGGCGCCGTTCTAAATTCACAGCCGGACCTTTTTGCATTGGGGGGAAACGACAATGAAACTAGCCACCTACCAGCGCCCCCCAACTAGAGCTTGGGCTTCCCATTGCAGTCGAGGGCTTCCAGTAGACATGTTCTGGGCTTTTACGTCCTTGTTAAAAAGCGGACGCCCCTTGCTTGCTTTCAAGGAAGAGCTGGACAATTGCACAAACTGCTGTTGTGGGTTGCCTTTAGAAGAATCATTTCCCTTGCCAGCCGGAGTGTGTTTGGGTGTCCAAGTTTGTGTGTGTGTGCACATGTTTCCATTTTTGTTTGTTTGTCGTGACGGCGTGTGGCTTGGAAGCTTCATATCAGGAGCACTGAAGCAAAGCCGTTTCTGGGTTGCCTTTGCAGTGTTCAGTTTTCTTGCTAGAAGGAGCGCATTTGGATATCCCAATTTTCGTGTGTGTGTGTGCGGTGTGCGCATTTGTTCTTGCTTTTAGTTTGCCATGGGTTACCTTGACGGCCTCTGGCTTGAAAGCTTCATATGAGAAGGTGCGTTCCAATGTACCGAAGCAAGGCGGGAACCATGTCCGTTGATGCTTGGAGTTGATGGTTTTCTCTAGAACAGGTTCAGCGCGAAACATAGAAAGCTAGAAGCCCTCGTGAGTTTTAACGCAGCCTAACATGAGCACAAGCGGCAACAAGTTGCAACACGTCGCCACGCCTCGTGCAAAGTAGCTTGGCCATGAAGATGCGAACAGCGGTGATCAACTTGAGCCGTCGGCCTGAGCGACGAAAAGTGTTGCGGGCCTCGCTGCAGAAGGCGCGCATCAACGCAGTGCGATGGGTTAGAGCAGTCGACGGTGAAGAGCTACGTGCACAAGGCGCGCGTGCCAGACATATGGGCGGCGGACGCATGCGACTGGCTTGGAACAAGAAAGGCGGCGGGCGCGCGGTGTTCACAGTTCGATTGGGGAAGTCATGGTCGCGTGGCATTTGTCGGCCATGGCCAACTGCCGGAGCCATCTTGAGCCACCTATGTACTTTGAAGGCCCTTCAAAAGGAAGCTGGTCAATTTGATTTTTTCATGGTGCTGGAAGATGATGCCAAAGTGCCTCCAGATCTCAAGGACAAGATACGGAAGTTGCTGCAGCAAGTGCCAGCAGGGTGGAAGATTATTCAGTTGGGTTGTCACACTGCAGGATGCGTGGCAAGCAAGCGAGCCACAGTTCGAAAGCTGCCGTTTGGCAAGCTGCGAGTGGCGGAGCGTTGTTATCAGGCGCATTGCTATTTGCTGAGCAAGGCAGGCGTAGACTCTGTGATCCCACATTTAGAAGCGGGTGCCTTTCTTATCAGGCGCATTGCTATTTGCTGAGCAAGGCAGGCGTAGACTCTGTGATCCCACATTTAGAAGCGGGTGCCTTTCCAGACGGTGCTCTTGTCGCAACACAGGCCCAAGAACTTCGCGCGAAGAAGCGCACATGTTTCTGGGTACAGCCAGACCTGGTGACACAGAACACGGAATTCTGCAGTGACACTTGCACCGAGACTTCTTGGAAGAAGGCTCTTGCAGCCAAGAAGAAGGTGCGTAATGAGAATCCTCAGGGCAGCGGAAAAGTGGCCATGAAAGCTCTGAAAGCCTTGCGCTCTGCAAGCGGCGCCAGAGGTGGAGCTGCGCATGCAGGCGGTGGGACCACGGCACAGGCTTTGGAGAAAAAGAAGAAGACCGTTTTTCGTTGGGCGCGCCGGAATGGCCACTTTCCATCCAGAATGACAGCTGAGAAGGAGCTTGCAGTGTCTGGCAAGCCGTGGCGCAGGTTCAAGGCAGAGTGGGAGGCCGACAGTTAGCAGCTTGTGCAATTCACATGCAGAAGGCAAAGCCAAATGCTCGCCGTGCTTGTTTGAGCCGCACATGCAGTCACGTAAGGTGACCTTCAGACCCAAGATCTTGACATTGCCTTGAGAAGCCGTCACGACCGCCGTTGCGCAGTTTTTGTTCTGATGACATAGCTTGATCTTGCTGTTGTTTGCCAGTTTGTTTTTTTGAAATTTGAAGGCTGCCTTGTGTTTCCCATCCATTGAAACGTACGGCTGCAGGCGAGAGTGCTCCAAAACAAGGGGAAACCCTCAAACAAATGTTTGTTCTTTTAATTTAATGTCTTTGGCCATGCTCATCGAATCCATTTGTGGGTGGAGTCAGCAGGTGTTTTGGGCGACTCTTGTTAGTGCCTCTATTTTTACCCGTTTAAGAACCCTTTCGGTTTGCTGCGCGGTCGCCGTGAACGCGCGCGCGGCCATTTTGGCGTTGGAGCTCGGTTCATCCATTTTGGGCGTTGTTGTAAGCACGAGAAGGCTACCACTTTTGCATTGGCCCCTTGGAGAACTTTCCGGCGGTCTTTTGTTTCGAAGGCTTTCTTTTTCCCGCACCAAGTTCATACCCCGTCTGCCATCTCGGAAGGCCGGATGCCGTTGATGAGCTCTTTAGCACGGGTGAGCGGCCGCGTCCGTCTGACGGATTTTGTTCATTGCATGTGTTGGCACACATGTGAGGAAACTCGGTGTGCTTTGGGGTGGCCTAGAATTCCTTTGACGGGGCCAGAGTCTAGATGCCGGATAGTCTTTGTTTTTTGCACGGGGGTGGCCGAACAAATTGAAGGGTTTGCGTGTACTTGACTCACCGGAGTCTTGCTCGAAGACCGGGCGAACCTACCGGCTTACATGTGTCACGCTGCGCAGGCAAAATGTCGACCTGTTTTATGCTATCTGGGGTCTATGCTGGTGTAATTTGTTTTGGTTTTGGTGCCCAAACCGTAATTTGTTTTGGTTTTGGTGCCCAAACCGATGCAAAGAACTTTACAAAGGCGGATCTCCGCAACTAGTTCTGGCAGGGGGCCCCTCCAAAAGTGGGCTGAATCCAACCACTAGACGCATCGGACAACCCCAAAGCAAATTGCCCAGGGGTCAATTCATACATCATTCCCCGTGTTTTGGGGTGGCTCACATGGGTGTGATTTTTAAAATTTTAATGAGGGGCCCTTTGGTCTACATCACGTACGACATCATAGTGTGGATGGACGAAATCCATTTCGCACCACCTAAGAAACCCTGAATGATACGATTCAGAAACGTAATGGTTTCCGCATGGCTTCCAAGTGGTGCAAAATGGATTTCGTCCATCCACAGTATACCAGGGATATGTGGATCTCGAGGGATATGGGGGTATGAGTCTGAGGGATATGAGTCTGAGGGGTCTGTCCACCAACCACTTGGGACAAACGAATAAGCGGGGAGGGAGCGGGGAGGGAGGGGGGATTCCCTTGGCGCCAGGGAATCCCCCTCCATGCTAGTTGGTTTCCTTGACCATTTGGGCGGCAGTTCCTCTCACTTCGGCGCATCTCGGCCTGCTCCTGCTCCGGCTCCGGCCAGCCGCCGGTGTTGCAGCCCCACTCGGAGCAGTTGGCGAAGCGGGGCCAGGCCACCAGCGGGCCGTTCCTCGGCCGCAGATTGGGGCGATGGCTGCAACGGAATGAAGCCCCCGGCCAGGGGGTGCCGGAAAAAAGGGAGGCAACCCCACCCTGGCCGAACGTCCGGAATGCACCCATGGCATTGGTTTCCCCCCACCCGGAGGGTTGATCTCCGAAAGTCACGCCATCATTTCTCCTCGTTGGTTTGCATCTCGGGTGGCAAGAAAAACGGCCAGAGGGACAGAACCTCGGAAGCCTTTCGAAGGCCATCTTGAAACAAATCCCTCCGAGCGGCGGCACGTAGATGCCATACTTGACTCCGGGGAAGTCGCTCTCGTAGCGGCTGCCAGGGCAATCGGGCATGTCAGGCATCCAGCACCTGAGAGAAGCAAAAAAAGGGCTGCGGGCCATGGGCCGCAGCACATCTGCAAGCCCAACCCTCACCCCCTAAACCCCCTGAACCCCCTGAACCCCCTGAACCCCTGAGGGTTTTAGGGGTGTTCCCCAATGGCCATCCCATGTAAAGGACCACTTTTGACCAAACCCCAAATAAGCTCTTCGAAGCCAAGGCTCGGAAGTTGTCGCTCCTGCAGATTCTGATGCGTCAGCGAATGCGCAAAGCAGCATGCAACCGAGCAACAAGCAACCCAGCCGCCCCCTCCAATTCGATATGTCCAGTCTTCGCCTGCAACTACCTTACGTTTGTCTTTCTAGGGGTTGATTCCTTTTCCATTCTTTTCAACCATCGCTCTTTTCAAAAACCGATCGCTGTTTCCCCTTGGTTTCTGCTGGTTTTCTGAACAGATTCGGATCCCTGGAAAGAACGGAAACGGGGATTTGTCCCCTAGAAAAGCGGCAAAGCCGCTTGGGCGCCCGGGGTAGCTTCCCCATTCTTGCCTGGTCTTTGAAAAGAAAAAGATGCTTGCAAAGAATTCGGAAAAGAAACGAATCAGCCCCTAGAGCTTAAAGAAAGCCACGGCGGACCAGCCACGCGACGCCAACACCGGAAGCTACTGCGGCTCTCCCCCGGCGCGCCGGCGCGCGAGCCTGGAACATGCGAACCACGTGAGGTCCTGGGATCGATCGCTGCATTCAGGTTTGAGTCCTTTCCCATTCTCACCCATCGCACTCTTTACTTTATCCGCACTTGTTCTAGGTCTTTGGCACATTTGTTGAAGAGAAGGATTTTTGAAGACAATGGGGAGGGTACCACTCGAATGTTGGCTCTCAACCTTGCCACTTGGCGTTGTGCCCAACCTGCACTTCAAAGTCATGGAGGAGGCAGTCCGTCGCACGCGTTCGGCTTTCGGCCAAGGAGCCACAGTTGAATTGAGCTCGATCCTCTGGTTGCAAGTCTTGCCGGGGGCAGTCACGAGCCGCAACCGCCTTGGTCAAAGCGGAAGTCAGTCTGGTCATTGCCTATATCCTTCATATGTCATAATCATTCCTCCAGTTCCGCCTTGACTGTCTTGCAGTTGAGCTTCGTCCCATTCTAGCTGGAGGCATAGGTCGGAGTAGGGCATTGCTACACGTATGTCAGGTAGCCGCTAATTGGCTGGTGGCTTGGGGAGTTGAATTTCTGGCTCTTGTGGAGGGTTTTGTTGGGAAGCTACCCGAAAAAAAAACAAAAAAAAAAAAAAAAAAAAAAAAATAAAAAAAAAAAAACGCCAAACCACCGGGCTCCAAACCAACAGTTTTGGATTGGAAGCTCAGTAAAGGCTGACCCGCGCTCTGAAACACAAGTCGGTTGCTTTCTGCTCCCCTGCTAAACGTTTAACTTTTAGTGGTTCAATGGAAAACCCATAGGTTGGCAAAAAGTTTAAAGTCCCAACATCCAAGCAAAATGCACCAAAGTCAAGTCGAGGCCTTCAGTCCAGCCAGCGCCGTCACAGGACCCATCCATTCAGAGCTGCTGCCGTAGCGTTCCACCGGCTCGCCCCTGACAGCATTCGCACGAGTGGCGGCCACTCGAGGGGTTGATTCCTGGTCCACTCGGCTGTGGCTCAAAATGTAACAGCTGGGGCAAACCGCAGGTTTTAGTCTTTGCTTCCATTTACCAAGGTGCAATTTTGGTATATGTATTTGAGCCAAAGCCATTCTTTTCAACCATCGCTCTTTTCAAGAACCGATCGCTGTTTCCCCTTGGTTTCTGCTGGTTTTCTAAAAAGATTCGGATCCCTGGAAAGAATGGAAATGGAAGTGTCCCCTAGAACTCCGGGTGGAGGAAAGGTTGATCTTTGTGGGTGAGGACCCTTTGAAAAAGCCAACGGCGCATGTGACAACAAGAAACAAACCCTTGCAGGCACGTGCCGCGTCACACGCCACCTGTGCCACTCGGAAGAGCGCTCACCATGGCTGTGACACCTCCATGGCTCCATTGCTGTTGCGAGCCTGTAGAAGCGGGTGAGTTGCCGCAGCATCTCCTGGGCAAGCCACAAAAAGAAACTGCCGGGGCCGCCCCAAAAAAAGCCTCGCGGCATGGGAAAAATCAAAGCGAATGCCTGTCCTCCATGAAGCTGCTGTTGGCCACCGCGCCCATCATGGCATTCAGCACAGAACCGTCCTCGGAGTAGCTGGCCAGGAAGGTCGTCTCCTCGCAAGAGCTGCCCGTGCCCCATGAAAACCGAGAGAAGAAGAAAAGTAGCTCAAACAGCACCTACACCAGCACCCCAAACTGCATGTCCCCTAGCACCCAGCCGGCAATGTTGCAAATAACTTTCCCTTCTTCATTAGAAGATAGAACCCCCTATAGCTTTCAGCTACCTGGGGAAAAACAGGTGCCGGAAAACGCTGCCAAGCCGCATTGCCCGCCAAATCCTGAAAGCTCCACTTCATTTCCTTGGCGGATGCGCAACTCATCGGCATTTTGCCAGCGAGCACTGCAGAGTTCAGAGTGTGGGTTCATAGAATCTGCCAGCAGGATGCTGCAGCCGAACCAGGAAAGAGCGTAAACAAGCCACGCGTTGGTGCTGGATGCCGAAGCCCCTCCAGACTCCAAACCCTTGTCTGCAAGGCTCTACGTCCAGGTCAGTGTAGAAGCCTCCCTCACGTGCCAGCACCGCCGCGCGGCAAACATCGCTGCGGTAGCTGCCCCTGCGATGGCGCAGGCGCAAGGCTTTGCTTCACCTTCTCCCCTCCAAAAAAATGACGTTCACTTGCCTTCTTTCAGCAGCCATGGCAATGGTGCACCTGGAAAAGGCCTGAAGTGTTGTGCGTGTGTGGTGTATATATATATATATATAGATATATATGTTTGTGTTTTGTTGGGGCTTGCTTGCAGAGCAGTCGTCCTTTCCGACTAGGATTCGGAATGCCTGGCTGTTGCCACCTTAACAACCCAAACTTCGCAACTTCCCCATCATGCCACAATCTCGCCAGCGGCTGTGGCACGATCTGACCAAAGAACCAAACCAAAGAACCAAACCTGCACCGCGAATGGGCAAGCTTACTACTTCGCACTTGGTAAGCTGGCCCAGCAATCTCGGTCCAATTCAAATTGAAGCATCTGTCCCGCTCGCCTGGTCTCGTGCTTGAAGAACATGGGCAGCTCGGTGTGGTTATAATGTTGCATGAGGTAGCCTCGGCCATAGTTGGGAGTGGCAATTCTGAAACATCACCTGCTCTGCAACGCATTTGTGTTTGCACCCCACATGCTGTCACAGTCTCCCAAACTCCGAGGCTCATCAAACCTACGCAAAAGCTTTCAAGGAGAACCAATCCCCCAAAAAGAAGGAAGAAAGGGGCACCACTGGCCACTGGGCAAACACATGGGCCCACCAGCGACTGGACCCAGAGGATTTTTGCCGCCCGTGCGGCTCTCGCACTCCTTGTCGCCCAGCCATCGCAGGCTCACCCAGGGGTTCAGCGCCAGCCTCGGGCACAACTGAGCGACCAACATGGCACGGAGCCAGGCGTGCACTCATGGCCTCAGAAGTAAGGGTCGGGTACTTCTCCAAGAAACCAGCTACAGCAACATGTGCAGGAAATCCCCTTTTTTTCTGTGGGCATTTGGTTTCCCAATGTCCCGCAGAAACTCCTGTAGCTGGTTTCTATGCATGTCCCGACCTTTTTTGGAGACGCCATGAGAGAGGCAGGCTCTCCCCGAGAATGATCTGCGGTCTTCTCCTTTCTTTCACCCTGATGGGCGGAAGGCACAAGCAGGGCGAGGGAGTCCCGGAAAGCTACAGTGAACCCCCCGAAAAATTCATTCGACACCTACCGCGATGAGACCGCTGCCGAACAGTTGACCCCATATTCATCAACCCCAGTTCTTCGTAGGGGTCCATGGGTTTAGTGGGGAATCATCACTATTGGAGGGGAACACCCACTAGTAATAAACCGGTTGGTTGATGCACATCTGGGGTCAACAGTATCTTGTTCATCTAGGTCCTCCAGCAGAGAGGTTGGAGCGGTTAGAATAAGGGTACCCTTTTTTCTGTAGTCTATTTTAGTAGGGAAACCCTGCCCCAAAGAAAAGGTAAAAGGGCACTACTGGGGGACCTAGTCATAAAACTTGCTGCTTCGCCGCGTATGGCGCACATTGCGCTGCACTGCCTTCGGCAGACTGGCAAAGGTGCCCTCCTGGAAAACGAAAGGCGTGTGGGCGTTGCTTCGTTCGGTGCGCACCTCTCGGATTCAACGAATTCATGGGCCCACCTTGGAGTATCTAGGCTGTTTCCGACTGTTTGTGAACTGCCACGGCAAATTGTTCGAAACAAGCAAAGAAGCGATCATCCTTTGCTGGCTGAAATCCGCTGAGCAAAAGCACAGCCAGCCCCAGTGCAGCCAAAAGCCAATGGTCTCCTCCAGTTACCAGTGCCTAAGCCAACCAAATCCAAACATGTTTTTTACCGGACACTCTTAAGAACCCACTCCTGTGGCTCTCTCTTTCATGCGCTGGAATGCCAGAAAGAACTCTAGGAAGGTCACTCCCCGATACAGAGTAGTCCCCAATACTAAACACGACGGCACAGAAAGGACACATGCTGGATAAATGTCCATGCGGATGAACCTGGAGAAAGGGTTGAAAGCAAGAGCCTCCACAATCGTTGCTTTCAACCCTTTCTCAATAGGATAGGAGGCTTTGGATAGGAAGGCCTTCTCGACCAAGCCTTCGTGCAGGGTTGTTCGCAACCAGCATGAGTCTTCACAAGAGTCGTGCTAACATCATGCAGCACAAGGGCCACGAAAGCAGCTGTCGCCAATTACTTAACGTGCCGGCAGCCCTTTCTTCTTGGAACCCGGCTTGAACCCAAAAACATACCCCCGCAGGCTCGACTCACGCGCTCTCCTTGGAAGTCAGCACCAGCTGCTGTGGAATCCTGTGCCGAAAACGTCCAGACTCGAAGTGTGTGGACAGGAGCCACTCCATGACAATTCTTTCTGCATCCACAGGGACTTGCGTCATCACGGAAGGGTCCGCATGGGACACCACCGGGACACCACCGGGACAGAGAAACACCACAGCCGCACTCCCGTCTCGGAAACATCTGATGTGCAGAGACTTTCCGGGGTAGCAAGGTAGAAGACCCCTGGCTGGATGTAATATAGGGGACAATGCCGGCACAAACCGCAAGTTGATCAAAACACAAGAATTTGTGGCCGCACCCAAGCCAGAAAATCTCTGATTTCACTCGAGGTTCGGCATCCGGGATATTATGGCACATCCGACGAGAACATGCAGGGTCTGGTCTGATGTTTTGCTTTCTTCGCAGTTTATCACGCCGTGATTGGCAAGGAACCCTGGCCATTTGGTTGCGGCTCAAAGCTACAGAGCTAAACTTACGCAGGTTTCAGTCTTTAGCTCCATTTGTCAAGGTGCCCATGTTCGGTGCATTTTGCTGGCTTCCTTAGTTTACCATGATCAAAGTCACCCCCGTTCAGTGGTGGGGTAAAGGGAAATAACCCCCATTTTCCGACTTCGATAACTTCCAGAAACCGTCAAAATAACTTGGGTGCTCTAGATCCCCCAGCAAAAGGTTCAACTTTTTGCTGGCGAGGGGAATTCCCCCCCAAAAAAAGAGTCTAAAGATTCCGTGGCCCAAAACAGAAGTTAAAAAAAAATAAAAATAAAAATGCCCCAGGTTTTTCTTCTGAGCCGCGGCCATGCTTCCGGACTCCGCCTGGTGACCTTGGGCTTGGCCCTCACCCGGCCCAGCTGCACGGAGAACTGCCACGCGGGGCCCAGCGCCGGGGCCTGAGGCTGCGAGGCCGGGATCCCGAGCTGGTGGGCCCTTTATCTTGGTGCTGAAAAAGCGATGTTTCAAATCGGCAACATGTATCTTTGCGTTCGCTTTCGCCAGGAGGCATTGTGGTCGCCTCCCTCCAAAATTCGGGGCATCTTGAGGGCGGGTGGGTCGTTGGCCTTGGTTGGGTTGATGGAAGAAACGCCGCCACTGCCTGGGCCTGGGGGATCTCGAGCTGGACATTCACGATGAACAATCCTTGGCAAAGGGCTCAGGACTGAGAGGTGACATGCACGCGCTTCCTGGGCCGAACCCGTCACGGGTTCATGGTCGTGCCCCATCAAAGGACACAACATGATGCTGCCCCATATTAATCAACCCCCGCTTATTAAAAGGGCCCCCCACTCCCTGTGAACAAACGAGGGTTCATTGACTCACTTGCCCAAAGGATCTGGAAATAGAAGGTTCACCTTTTGGGACCTCCACTATGGAAAAGAAACAGAAAAAGGTCAAAAGGTCGATTCGCTTTGAACAGCTGAGCGAATACTGTGGATGGACCAAATCCCGCACCACCCAATACACCCTGAAACGATACGAGTCCCCTGTCAGCACCCACCAACGTCAATCGGTTTCCACCGTGGTTTCCACCGTGCCGGCTGGTGTACCCATCGACGTCGCTAGGGCTGAGGGTAAGTCACTCGGAGGTCCGGGGGTTCCAAGCCTCAAAGAAAAGCTCCGAAAGGGGATGGTTTCTGTTCACACCGGTCAGTTGATCAGCTGTCGCATGTTTTTTTTTGGTTGGGAAATCCGGTGACTGCATGTGCGTCCTCTCAAATGTCAACTTCTGGGGGAGAGGCCGTTTGGCCCAAGGGCCAAGATTGATCTCGGAGGTTTCAATTTTCGCCCATGGCAGAGTTCAGACAGCCGACAGCAACATGCGGACGTGGCTCACCGAAAGGAAAGGAAAGGGTCAGCGTCTCCCAGCCCCGCCCGAGCCAAGCCGCCAAAGGCCAGGAGCACCAGAAGCGTCAGCGCCAGTAGCAGCCGCAGACCCAGGCCCACGCCCCTGTCGGAACGCAGCAAGCGGCATTGGCCGCTTTGCAGCCGGCTGCAACAAAGATCTGGCAACTAGAAAAAAAAGAATATATATATATATATATATATGTATATATATGTACACATATATAAATATGAGTGCAAACTTATTTCGGGATTTGTTGTTCGCTTCTTTTGTTTTCCGATTCGTTTTCGTTTCACCGAAAGGTGTCTGTCAACACCTGGTGCAGATCGCCAAAAAAACACGTGATCAAAGCAAGGCTAGACCTGGCAAGAAGATTATAACTATTCAGGCTGCTCATGAGGCCTTGCGAAACCACATGTGTGGAGTATCATGGAACTTGCACCCGAGTCAACATGAGGACCCCGCAGCGCAATGTTGCCCCTTGGCCTTGCCACGGCCATCAGCGCTCCATCGCTCTGCTGAACCGACCCCGGATACTTCGCTCGGGGACGCACTTGGAAGGCTTGCGCCCAGCAACCGAAGTTGAAGACTGCTTCGTTTACTCCCATCAAGCTTGACAAAACAGTGCAGGGCGAACTCCAAACCCTCATGAGCGCTCAAACAACTGATTGCATCTGCTCGCATGTGATGCCTGCCGTGTCTTTGCTCCACATGGCTGTGTGTCAAAAATGCGTACCCAGAATGGCTTGCTCTGATAAATGGAACCAAAGACTAAAACCTGCGGTCCCCTGGTGGGTTTACTTTGATACCCACATCTCTTGCCAAGGGCGGCTTGCCAGCTTGGGGTGACTCTGATCTCTCGCTGGCCCGGTAAGTAAGCCAAACACCTGGCGCAAATGCACTCAAGGAGTTATTAGTGGCACGCAAATGCACTCAAAGGGGCGCAACCATCACTCGGTTGCTTTCTGCTCCCCTGCTAAAAGTGAATAACTTTTAGTGGCTTAATACGGAAAACCCATTAGTCGGCAAAAAGTTATTCAGTCCTAACATCCCTTGGCAAAATGCGCCAAAGATCGGTCAAGCCGACTGCAAGCAATTACCATTTGTGTGGGCCCGTGTCAGTATGACCCTCCGGTAATGCCTCTCGGATTCCCGGACTTGCCACCCGCCAAGCTCTGCACCCTGAAGATCTTCCCCATCTCTCACCCATGGCATGGCCAGCCACGCCTACGTACCCTTGCAATAGCGGGATGCTCTGCGGAACGGCTTCGGGTCAGTGTTTGCGTCACTCAAACATGCTGAATATGGGTAACAAGTGTCAATTGCTTCGAACTGCTTCTGTTTTTGCCAGCGTGGGGTGACAATGTCGGGCTAGGTGGTGGCTGGTTGGCAAGTAGTGGAGTTCACGGCTACGTGCCGATCGACTCGTGATTCAGATCTATCAGCCTCAATAAGCAAAGATTGCCGGCATTGCATCACTGGAGCTTCGCCTCACTCTCTCTCTCTCTCTCTCTCTCTCTCTCTCTCTCCCCCTCTCTATCCCTCCGCCCCAGGGCGGTGAAAGCGGACCCCCAAAGCGGCGTTGCGGCGCGGTTGCGGCCGGGTTGGGAAACCCAAAGCAACTTGGAGCTGAGGCGGTTCGTGAGAAGATGCGCCTGGCAGCGGAGCGCCAGGGGGTCCTCAGGCGAGAGTTTTGGGCGTCAGCCACACCTAAGCGCTCGAAGTGATACGAGTTTGGGGTCGGGCACTCGTACTTGAAAGCATCAGGAAAAGAAGCAGACATATGACATACTCACATCTCGCAAGCGAAGCCAAACAAAACATGCACCCATTATCCACCTGTTTGCCTTTGCTTCTTTAAAAACAGCGTTTGTGCTCAAGTTGGTGCAGCTACTTTTCGCCAGCTAGAAGGCAACCCTTTCTACCCAGGTGTCGTCCTTGGGCGCGGCTTCTTCTGTGTCCCCAGCTCTTGTTGAGCCTCAGCGTGAAGGGCGGAGCTGGCACCTGAGCCTCCCAGTGCCAAAAATAAATATAAAAAACAGCGGCTGGGGTGCCGGCTGTGCGTCAAAAGGCACCACCTTGCAGAAGCACAACTTCCACAACTCTGACTCCTCTTGCCTTTGTTTTGCGTATTTCAGACATGGCGGTTAATTACCACCCATTTTAGAACCTATCTTAGTGGGAATTGGCATCTTCACTGGGGGTACGAAATTTGGATTTTGACCCATGGCCACATGGCGGTGGCAGCCAAATGGCGGCTGCTGGCGCCATTGCCGGCCCAGTTGCAGTCCCAAAAAGCTGAGACGTCCGGCAGAGCTGCGTTGGAGAGCTTCTGCACCTCAGCAGAAGAAGCGGGCCCTAGATTTCCTCAAAATGGCCGTGGGTCAAAAATGCGTACCCAAAATGGCTTGCCCTGGAAAGTGGAAACATGCACCAAAACCTGCAGTTCGCTGGTGGTTTAATTTTGACCCATACCCAAATGAAGCCATCCACACTGCGATAGCTCGAAATGACTTGCGATCGGTGCGATAGGTAGGGAATGAGAAATGGAATGACCCTGATTTAAGCCATCCAACTGGTGGTTTCCTTTTTCGGGCCAAAGCCTTGGGCTCATTCAACCACAGTCCCTAACTATCGCACCGACGGACCCGGACACCAACTCCGAGGGCCGAGCCAGTGCCAAGCACCACCCGAGCTCTTCTTCCGAATGGCCTCGATCAAACTCCCTGTCCACAATGCAGCTATGATATCCGGGATCTGAGAAGAAATTACACCAGAATAGACCCCTATAGCTAGAAGGTAGAACCCCTATAGCTTTCAGCTATCTGGAAAAAGGGGGGGAAGTTCTAAGTCACCCCTGGCCACTGTGCATTCACACCTCGCACTGAGGCCTTCGGGGCTCAGGCCATTGGCCGCCTCGACGGCTTCAACCTGGGCCGGTGGAGGCATCTCCGTTCGGCGGATCCAGCCGTTGAGTTGATGCACTCGCGATTTTTGTTTTAGCTCGCGACCCGGGCTTCAGGGGCCTGAATTCTGAATTCTCACACGTCGGCTGCTTGAGCAAGCACTTGCTTGCTTGTTTGCTTGCTTGCTCTTGTCGGGTGTGTGTAGGTGTGTGTGTGTGTGTGTCTGCTTGTGGGGTACCCAGGCCCCGTCTTCGGCAATTTGGGCAAGTTGCAGCCCATCACAGCCCCACTACCTCACCCCCGGCAAGTTCTACTCCTTGGAATCATGGGTTTGGAAGTGGGCGACGATGGCTGCAAGGCTGCACCCCTGTGAATTGACTGGTGTAAATCTAACTCGAGCTATGGGATGCCCCTGCCAAGTGCCAAGCACTTGGCTTAGGCCAAGCCCCGCTCCTTTGCATACTGACCGCATTCCCTGTACGCTTTTGCGGCCGACTCTCAGGGCGGATGCATGGCGCGCTGGAAGAATGCCAGAGGCGCCCTTTTAAGGGTATGGGCCGGCGTGATGGCCGCTCTCAGGCTGCAAATGTGTGGCTGGATTGATGCCAAAGCTCATCCTCAGCTCCGAAACGGAAAAATGAAGAAAAAACAAGCGCTCAGCCCATCCCGATCCTGTCCCTAGCCGCCTTGTGCGTCGCACCTGCCCGCTGGATGTTCCTTTGATGTTCTGCTTGCTCGCCGGCCGTCCAAAGCCGGTGCTCTGAGTGCTCTCCAAGCTTCAGCAGGCACAAAATGCCCATGAGCAGGTTCCACAGACCGGCTATGAAGGTGAGGCAGAAAAAGCACCTTGGCTCGCGGAGCCTGTCGCGCCATGGGCTAACTTTCAGATGCCATGAGCCAGTGACCAACAAAATCTGCATGGGGTCTGGGTACACCTGTCTCCTAGAGGCACTGTCAAAGGTACTGCCCTGACCCTTCAGCACCCCCGAGTTCGGCAACCTGTCATTCTGAAGCTTTGTGCGAGAACTCGCTTGCAGCAGCTGCACTGGGTCACTGCCAGCGTGCCGATGAACCTCGACGCATGGGGGAGCAAGCAAAGGAAACTTTCGGGTTACAAGCCCTAGGTCACGACCAGAGATGAGCAAGCAAAGAGACACGGCACAAAGCAGATATTGGCACCACCTAAGCCTCCCGCACGTAGAAAAGGCCTCGCCCCCGCAGCTCCGTCAGGAAGTTTGCGCGATTGAAGACTTCTAGCTGGTAGCCTGGCAACCGGAATGGGGATATTCTAGAAAGCGTGACACTTCCCAATGCCACACGCACTGCCCACGCGGGCCACTGCCACACGTTCCAGCCCACCCAAATGGGAGCCGAGACTCGCTCCACCCATGGAGAAAGCCGCCCAAGAACCCGCATGCTTCGCAGACTCTCCACATCTGCCTTGGTCAAAAAGGTGGGGCAATGAGGGCCATGGGCTGGTTGGGGATGTCGGGGTGTCCGGGTAGCTCAAAGCTGTTAACAAGTCACTGGCCCTCTCTGGTGCTCTTGCTACAATTGTGCCCCCAAGACGTGTCCAAGATTTTTTGGGCAGCCCCAGGCACTTCCAAAAGGAAGGTGACAACGCCAAAGGTCATGAGGTAGGCATTCCTGGGATGCGCTGACAAATGCTCCCCAACAGCCAGAGCCCCAGACCGTCAGGGAGCGACGAAAGCCACACACTCACACTCACAGCCACAAGCTCCCAGAAGGCCTCTCTGAATGGAACCGAGTCTTTCCAAGGGGTTTTGGGAGCTTCCGGGCTAGTCTGGGGGCAAATATGTTGCGCCACTAGCAGCTTTCAGCGTAACCTGAGCCAAGCGACAGAACATACGTGAAGGGCGAGGTCAGGCCTTGGAAGACACTTCCCAAAGCGACTCCGCTGAGAATCGCCCCGCGCCTTTGACCTTCGAGCCCCGGGCCGTTGCCAAAGTTCAGCAACCCGAGAATGCCAATGACCGTTGTGGCCAAGCCGCCTGCGGCTGACGCGGACAGCTTGATGTCTAGAGCTTGGCGGGCCAAGCTCACGCTGGACATGGCGGATCCTCCAGCTACGCTTGAGACTTCTCCCGTCCCCTGGGTGGAACTGCAACTCTTTGAGCCTTTTGGGACCCCATTGCTGCCATGCCCATGCCTAGGAAGCAGAGAACGGAGATCCCTGCTGGCCCTTCTTGGACGTACTTCCCCAGCTCCTGCACGCCAGCGCGCGCCAGCGCGCGCCAGGGTGAATCACCGTGCCAAAACGCACTGCTGCTCTCCTCAGCTGCCATGGCAGTCGCCACTTTGGCAACTTCGAAGCCCTCCTGCGCCTTTTGGTAGGCGACCTCCTGGCAAGCCGGGCGAGCAACGAGCCAAGCTGCTGCAAGTGTTTCTTGGCAGTGCGAGAAATCGGGAGGGAATGTGGGACTGAATGAACCCAGGCTTTGTTCCCCGAAAAAAAGGGAACCACCAGTTGGATGGCTTGAATCGGGGTCATGTGCCCATCGCACCGATCGCAAGGTATGGCCATTGCCTCCATGACCATGCTATTCTCGCCCGGTCCTTCAGCTGCTGCTGCACAGTGGGATCCTGCCTGGCAAACCCCGAACAAATGGCACTTGCCACCCCGAAACCCGGCAAGAAGGTATTCGTAGACCATAGAATGGTCAGCTACAATTGAACCAGAATCAGCATCAATTGAAAGCAGGGAAAAAGCTGACCGGGCTTTTGGCTTTGCTGCCGAGAGGCAAGGCCGCTTCCGCCAAGCCGCCTAAGTGCCACGAAGTGGATGTCGCAACCATCCACAGCATCGTGAGTCCCATACCCATGTCCACCCGATTTCCTCTTGGGACCAGCACACTTCAAATAGAAAAGACAGAACCGCCACCCTCCTATCAAGGCTCTCCCCAAGTGAATTTCCGCCCGGCCGGGCCCGGCCCGGCGCCTGCATAGCCATAGCCACCGGCCGCTCCGCCAGGTCCGCCGGCTCCGCCGGCGCCGCCGGAAGTTGCGCCCCCGGCCGGCGCCGAGGCGGCGCCTAGGTGCAGGCAGCCTGCTGGCTGGGAAAATCTTTGGGGTAGCTTCCCACCTGCCCATCCAGGAAGGACATGCCGCTGTCTACATGGTTCTTGTAAAAACAAAATGGAACCCAGAAGGCCGGCCGATGGAATTTGTGTTGGCGGTTTGGAGCCCGGTGGCTTAGAATTTGTAGGTTGGCCCCAGATTTTCATCAACCAACCAATTGACTAATCTGGGTTTAGGGGGATCAGGCTAGCTTTGGAGGGGAACACCCCCCTATTAATGAACAGGGTTGATTAATATGGGGTCAACATTGGGGGTTTACCCTCTACAAGAACCAGGGGTTCAAATCCCAAACCACCAATCCGAACCACCAATTAAGGGTTACCTAAACAGTGCAACCGATAGGCAACAAACATGAAGAGAACACGGTCGTGCTGCCAGGCTACCTGAGAGGTCGATCTTCGCACCTCGCAGCGCCGCGCGCCGCTCTTACGTTGCCGAGGGCTACTCGCCGCTTGAAGGGCGTGTTGGATGCAAAGGCATGGGCCCTGTAGCCCAACCAGGGTCTGGGATCCTTCTGTTCCAGAGTTTTCCCAGAGTTTTCCAACTGGCCTCATTCATTTACCATGATCAAAGTCACCCCCGTTCAGTGGTGGGTTAAAGGGAAACAACCACATGTTCTGCCTTTGATAACCCCCACGGTCAAAATAATGACCCCGGCCCCGGTCCCATGCTGATACCTCTGATGCAACATGCCGCATGGCTGCCGCTTCCCCAAGGGTGCCCCACGGGTCGAAAAAATGATGCAGCCAAGGTGCCGGACATGATGCCCAGCTCCCACCAAAGCTAAGAGCCATAGAACGCAAGCAACCCGATTGGCCACAATAAGGGACTCACTTGCAACAATGTCAGTGCAGAATACGGATCGTGCCACCTTTCACTTGCAGTGCACGCTCTTGCGGTGCTGACAAGTATAAGCCGCTGCTTTTTCCGCACAGTGCGAGAATGGACCTTGAATCGAAAGCAAGCTCTTGCGAGAAGGTTCGCCAAAACCCAGCGGTGCGTATCAAAGCCTGGGGAAACGTCAGGCAGCTTCTGCCAAACAGGGGACCTGCCCAGCCGACTTTGCAGCTACAAATACTCCAAACCAAAGATGTGCTTTCGGATGTACTCCACGATTGGCATCTGGACTGCCATCACCTAAGTGCATATCAGCCTTTCTCCGTGGCCATAGGCTACATGCCGAGTCTGTGATTGCTACTTGTGTTTTTTTCTCACCGATTGCAGGGTGAGCCCTGCCACTGCTAAATGGTCGATGCTGATGTTGAACACAACATCACCAAGCGCATTTGGGCATGCCCTTGATTAAAAAAAAACAAAAAAAACGCCGGAGTACCACGCTTCTACCCAAAAAGGCTTAACCTCCCACAAACGAGCATGGAAGTGCAAAAAGCCCCTTTCCAAGAGAAAACGCTTTGGCTTTCTACAGGGTCTGCGCACTTCCATGTTGGGAGGGTAATTCAGCAACTTGAGGCTCCCTGCGAACCAAGCAACGGGCACCTGGCGAGAGGCCGCCGGAACAAAGCCTCGGTAGAAGCCGCGAGGGCCCTCCCGCAGGATCTTCAGCGCGGAGGAGGCTGCGCCCTCGGAGGTCGCCGTCTGCATCCTGGTCTTCACCACGTCGGCGGGCATGCAGGCAACCTCGTGGCTTGAAGGATGGATTCCAGGAAAAACCTGGCCCAGAGGTCTGAAACCTTCAGCCTTCGCTCCGCTCAGACCCCCTCCCGGACATCTACATTGGGAATACATTGTTTTTCTTTGTATTTTTCCCTTTTCCTGGGAAACCTGGGAGCAATAAACGCACCTCCCGCACCTCCCCATGTTCCGGTCCGCCTGCGCCACGAACCCGGAGAGGCAGGAGCTGGCAAGGTGCAGGCGGGGCCCATCGACCCAGCCAGCCTGCAGTGCCACCTGGCGCCATGTGAGTCATACTCAACACCTGGTACTAAAATTCCGTCTACCCAGAACCATGTAAAGCATTAAGAAGGCGGCCGCAGCTATTTATGGTTGGGATCGCCCCTTACTAACCTTCATCTACCCGGGTTTTGAGCACGTGGCTCATGTGAGCCTTTGGAGAAAACCACCGCTATATTCTTCGCCATTCTCGATTTTCCCCGGGGTTCGAACCACCACAATGGGGGGTCCAGTTCGAACCACCAATTCTTTGCCGTAGGAATCAAACCCCATGCTTGGTTGCTGCTGTTGACTCCCCAACAAGCTCTTCACTTTTGGGGCGTTAGTGGAAAACTCAACTTGATTTCAACCAAAAAGTTAAAGTCCAAAGATCCGTTGCCCAATAGCAGTCAAGGGTTTGTTCGAAACTCAGATGCCAAGATTTCCATGGGAGAAACAAAAAAGGCCTCCTTTTCTGGCTGGTTGGGCCTTCCCAAAAAGAGCGCACCCTTTTGCCAAAAAAGGAAACCCTTCAAAAACAAGTTCTAAAAAAGGGAACCCTTTCCATGGGGAACCCTTCCCAAAACGAGGACATAAAGGGCACCACTGGGCTGGGAAAAGGCTTGAATGGGTGCAGCGAAGGTTGCCCAAGGAACGCTCCGCTTCGCGCCTGCTTTGTCTGGTCGTAGGTTGACAGCTGCCCCGCAGAAAGCAGGGCAGCGCGTGCCACGTTGGCTTGAACACCATTCCAAAGGCCAATCACGCCCTCCTCGCAGGCATTCTCAGCGAACGGTGGGCAACACTTCCTGTAAGAAGCAGAAATGCGAAGTGATCTCAATTTTTGCCCGCAATCTGCGGACCAGTTTTGTTAGGCCACCAGTGCAAGTCCGGAGTCCGGCCGGCCTTCCGGAAAATCTCCTCAAACGCCTTGAAGGTGTGAGCATAGCGCGGCTCGTGGCCTGCCCTCAAGCCAGATACATAGCAGCCCTCCACAATGCGCCCTGCATCAGCCTGGAGACGAACACGCACCAAGTCCTCAGCTGCGCGCACTGTTTGCAAGGCGGCAGGCTTCGCAAAAGCAAGCTCAACTGAGTAATCAAAACCCGGTACTAAAATGGCTGACCTAGAACCATGCAAGGAAATACGAAGGCGGATATCCGCAACTATTTATGGCAAGGGAATTGTCCCGTACTAACCTTCATCTACCTGGGTTTTGATTGTGGCTCAAATAGCCTTTTTGCCAAGGATCGGCAGGATTAGCCATCGCCGCAGCCATGGACCCGGTAGTGGCTCCAGCGCCGATCTTCGCAGCCAGGCTGTCTGGGGACTCGCCATGATACAGCCGCTTGATCCTGGGGCGCGGTCGTCACGCCAAACAAAACAAGCATGCCAAATCCGTGGGCCAACATCTGGCCGCAGCCACCTCCCCTGCCTGGGGTAGAGCCCAATCCGCAGCCCCGTCTGGGAGAAGGCACGAAGCCAAGTCGCCACCAGACCTGGGGCCCAAAGCCCCAGCAGGCCCTCCTTGCCGCAGAAAAAGGCAAGCCCACCCCAGAGCCCAAACCCTGAGGCTAGCCCGTAACCACAACTTGTTGCTGGCTGGCTGGTGAACAATCGAGTGCCGGCTGAAAGCAAAAAAAGAAAAAAAGAATAAAAAAAATAAGGAACAAAAAAAAAACGCATCTCGGAAAAGTGGAAGCAACTCAACCGGCCCTGAGCAAACCCGCCTCCGCCAACACACGTCGCAAGCTTGGTAGAAGTCCATGGTACATGCGCCGCTCCCAGTCAACCTGCATGCGACTGCTTTCACTCATGACCCGGGAGGCGATGAACATTACGGTCGATTCAACTACAAAAAGTTGAGGAGGATGGGGGGATGGGGGGGGGGAGGCAATGAGCGCCCTCAAGTTGTCGCGAACTTGCAGGCAGGGAATCCACGTAAAGCTGAGTTCTGGCAAGGCTGCTCCCGCCAGAGTGTTTCTTTTCAGCCACAGGGCACCTGCTGCCGCACCGTGATCATCGCCAATGGGTTGAAGATGCTGTCAGTGATCGCGGCACCCGAGCCGGCAGCCAAGACATCTAGCGCCATTCGATCAGATGCCACCAGCGCGTTGATCAGTGGCTTGCGTGAAGCTTGCAAGGTCTGGCCGTTTTTGCACTCTGTTGCCTTTGGCGAAACCTTGCAGACTCGCATTCTCACCCCATGGCTTGCAACGATTTTTGTTCTCAGCCTCTGCTTGTTTTGCACTGGTCCATGCCTTCCTCAGGTCCATCCGAAGCTTGCTTGGCCCATGTCCCAGATACTCCAAAAATGTGCGCTGGAAGCTTTCCATCCAAATACCCCCCCCCTGGCCACATGTGCCCACTTGGCATCAGACAGCATCCAACCCGCATGCCCAAGTGCCCTGACAGCCACCAAGAGCCGTCGAAGGAGCGGCCAGCCTTGGCAAGTTAGGAGCCTGTTGCAGGAAATGACTGGGCTCAGAAGCTGCAGGTACTAGTCGCGAGAAAGGGAAGCCCAAGTTTCACATATCTGGACAAAGCATTTCGTTTTGCTGGCCCTTAACTCCTAAATCCAGCAGGAATCCTTTTTACATCATACACCTGAACATTGCAACTTGTCAATGGTGGTTTCTCTTTACTCTGGTGGAAAAAGCAACATGTCTCAAATGGGCAGAATCTATCTTTCAAGGAGCCCTGTCCAGGCCCACGCTGACATTTGCAGCTCTGAGGTGTCGGCGCTTCTTCAGCACCTCGGCATCCTCGGCACGCGCAACCAGGGAACCCAGCTAAGTGGCCCCAGGCTCTCAGGCTCCCATTTTGGGAGCCTGGACACAGAGGGCCATTTTTTTTTTGGCTCTTCAAACATTTTACCGTTGTGGGATCCCATTTTGGTGGGTAGGTGAATTCACCACCCACTTTGGAACCTATTTTAGAGGTGGGATTGGGTCCAAAAGTTCACTGGGGGTACGATTTGGGTTTTGACCCATGGCCAAGTCAGGCAGCCGTCCTTCTCTCTTTCCTTTTTTTTCGTCGGAGCGATTGGCGGATCAAGGAATGAGTCGAACACAAAGAGTGGCCTAGCATCTTCGTGATAGTTGAACCACTGCCAAGCGGAGGCGGCAACCCATCCATTCCGACTGGCTGCATGAATTTCCGAATGGGAAAAGAAACGAACCACTCGGTACACAACGGACATTCAATGATATTCAATGCTTCGAAACCGCAACGAGGTCGAGCTTCGGGGCTCTTTCGCCACCTCCGCCAGCTGTTCCTCGCCTCTTGGGGGGGCGTTGTGCGTGTGCACTTCCAACGGGCCGCCCGTGAAGCACAAGCTGAGTCGAATTCGCGAATGCCTTGGTTGGGCCTTTGGGCGCTTGAGCACTGCCAGCAGTGCTAACCAACTCTCTGGCCATAAGCCAAAGGCCTGGCGTTCAAACCACAGAAGGACACCATGAACACAAGCCACGCTCGTTTTGAATGAGCCAACGTTCGCTTCGGCTGGCAGCGACAACGCCCTTTCGCGCCTCTTGGCCCCTGTCAGACTGTCAGACCGTGGAAGGCATGGTGAAACACGGCTACCCGGGCAGAGGTCGATGGGCAAATGCTGGCCTTGAGCCTGTCACTTGGTCCCACGACACCACCCGCGAACCCCTGCCCAAGCGCCTTTGCGATGCAAAGTTTCTGCCTCCGGCCATTTGGCTCGGAGCACTATCTCGGAGCACCGAGTGTTCAAACCAGCCTTGAGACTCGCGTCCCCGAGGGGCCGGCACCGGTTGCTGAGAAGGGAACAAGGAAACCCAAAGTGGAAAAAGGGCAGTTGAGTCAGCCTTGTCTGCCAAAATTCAGCATGACATGAAGCATCATGTTGGAATCACCGCTTCTTCAAACCAGCCCCGCAAATTGCCTGGCCCCGGCTCGTATCACACCCAGTGCCGCTGAATTTGCGGCGCCTCTGCGTCTGGCAGGCTTTCTTGGGAACGAGTCCCATTGCTTGTGGGTCGAAGCATCTCGCTCAGAAGCAGCCAGAAAAGGCTGCAAAGCCACCAAAATCCCCAAGTCCAAAAAGCAGTTGTGTGTATACCGAGGGGTCAAAGCTACCGAAGCGTTGCCTGTCCGAGCGAGCCGCTAGCGCAGCCGAGCTTAGCCCAACTCAGCCTCGTCACTAAGGGTGAAATCGACATCCGTCGGCTCACAATACTTCTCGCCCTGTCGCCGAGCGGGGAACTTCGAACCCGAGCGTCCCAGTTCCGGCCCGTTGCTATCTGTCCGCAACTGACCACAGCCGCCATGCCATGCCACACCGTGGGTGGACGAAATCCGTTCGCACCACTTTGAAACCATCGAATGTTGGTATTTACGGGGGGACCGAATCAGAAACCAGGGTTCCTGAACGCTGCGAGAAGAGGAGTTCGTCCACAGTATCTCCGGCCTTGGGCATGACCGGTGCTTCCAGCTCTCTGCCCATGATCTTGTCAAACCTCAGAGGTCAGGAGTCCGTTGGATCCATCTCGGCCCCTTTTTTTTGGCTCAGGGCTTGGTTTTCTTTTCAGATTTCTTGAAGCCAAAGTGCAGCGTGGTGCTGTTGTGCCCTATCAAGAAGAACTCGCTGTTCCTGGCACACGGCAAGCGCCACGAATCCGACTCCAGTCGTTCTGAATCTCTTCTGTGCTGGCGTCCTGATATCTTCCCAGCCGTTCATTCCTCAGCAACCGTCAATGCTTCATCTTTGTGGCTCAAACTTTAGCTGGGGTTACGCTGGTTCTTGTCTTTGGCTCCATTTGCCAAGGTGCCATTTTGGTACATGAATTTAAGCCACAGCCCTTTGGGTCAGACTGAGACCCTCGCCTGCACCCAAGCGCTTCTTCGGCTGCCGGTTCAATAAGCCCTGGATTATAGCCTTGCACTGAGCATCCTGCACGAGCAGTTGCTCTGGCTCTGTGATCTTTGCGGCGGTGCTTGTGGAAAAAAAAGGCGGAAGCAGCACTTTCTCCAACAAAGCTGGTATGTTCGAGAAGAGTTGTCGTGAAGGGCGCTGCCGCTATCATGAAGTTGCCATTAGAGGTGCGAAAATTATGGCCATCCTGGCATGAGTCCTGCACATGCTGGGAAGAAAATCTGAACGGGACTTTCACCGGTTCTAACTTCTTGAGAATCTGGTTCTCGGATTTCACCCTGCCCATGCCGGAGCCGCTGTCCTTGAAGCGAGCTGGGAACTCCAGCGGGTCCTTGAGCACGGCAGTGCAGACCTCTGTGGGGTCATCCAGCTCGTCCGCAAAGGGCAGGTAGCCTACGCGGGCGCAACCCTTTGACCGAGCGAAAGCTCGGGTAAGCTTGCTCATGGAAGCTGGGAAAAGGCGACCCAAGAACACTGTTGGAGAAGGGCAAGAAGCCTCGGCAATGCTTCCTGCGGACAAGCTGCCACAAACGAACTCGAAGAGAATGACTCCCAGCGACCAAAGGTCAACCTGCGCAAGGCTCGCGGCTACAGAAACCAAAAGCACTGCGAAGAAAGCCACAACAGCCCACTTGTGATGCAGTTCACTGCGCCTATCTTTGGGAAATGCTGGTGGGGCCCCAGGGCGGCCATGATGAAACATAAGGTTGTGCTATGCCACACATGCCTCAGTGCCATAGCCGTGGCCACGCATAATCTCCGGGGCCATGTAGTGGGGCGTGCCAATCCTGACGTGCGCCATGCGCCGTGGAACTAAGGTTGAGAGGGCCATTTCCCACGGTACAACGAACAAGCATACGTCCGATGCGACCAAGCGGCATAGTGAAGGTTCGGGTCTTTCCCTCATCGAGTTTCTTGGCAATGCCGAAATCGATGAGCTTCAGGTAACCTGCACCGCCCCAGCATCTAGGGCCACTCCACAACCCATCCAGGGGTTTCATCCAAACCCCCGGAACCCCCCCACCCCTCCCCCACCTACCCACCCACCCAGCCACCCACCCACCCACCCACCCACCCATCCACCCACCCCGCCTTGATTGTCAAGCATGACGTTTTCAGGCTTCAGGTCCTCAGCGAGGCCGGGTCACTGCCGAATGTCCCTCCAGCAGACGCTTGCGACATACGCTTGGCCCCAGCTCTTTTGCGGTGCGACGGGATTTCGGGTTTCGGGGGACCGCCCTTGGACACAGTTGGAATTGTCAAGTTGGCCCATGGAGCCAAGATTCTCTGTACACAATGTTCTTCTCGCTGAGCTCCTGGCAAGCGGAAAGGAGGCAAACACTAGCTGGTGACTGCCATGACTGCCATGAGAATGGCGAATCTTGATTACATAGCTCGCACTCCAAGGTGCCTCCAGCACTATGATCAGGCAGCCCGTATAGAACTGCGCCTGTGACCTGTGCAGCTCGTGACAAGGCACAGCGCCGAAGGCATGCCTGCAAACGCAAGAAAGCTGGCCTGAACGAGTCTACAAATCGAAAACAGCACCACCAAGTCATACCTTCACGCCTCTGCACTGCTCGCGTGTCCCATGTGCCAAGGCGGCCTCGCCTCGCCTTTTTCCCAGTCTGAAACACCGAAACCCCGCGCCTGGACAGCACGGTGGGGATATCGCGGATCGCGCCGTGCAGCTCGCCCCCGGTGATCAGCTCCGTGAGGATGTAGACGCTCTTGGTGGTCTCGAAGGTCTGCACTAATCTCCTGCCAAAGGGTCTGAGGAACGAAAAAAGGACGCGAAGTGAAGTGGACCCCATTTGGCCATGGCTCAAAACCCTAATCGCTTAGCCCCCAGTGAACTGTTGGACCCAATCCAACCACTAAAATAGAGTGAAATGGGCGGTGAATTCACCTACCCCAAAATGGTACCATTGAAATCGACGTAATCCAAGAACCCTGTTTTAAAAAAAATATCGAAGGCCGCAGCTATTCATGGTTGGGATTGTCCCTTACTAACCTTCATCTACCCGGGTTTTGATTGTGGCTCATTTGGGGGATCCATGTCCACCAACCACTTTGGAGGGGTTCCCTATTAAAATTCATAGCCACTTGGAACAAGCGAGGCCTTTGGCCAGGCCTGACAGTAGACAACTGGCTAATCCCCCGCCCCAAATTGACAAGCCTGGCTCATGATAAAAGCTGCACGCTGTTGCTTTTTCAACATGCCGCCCATGTATTCAGAGAAGTGCCGTGGAGTTTCAAAACCTTTACTCCATGTATTTCAAAGAAGCCAGGTGTGCAGTTTGGCCACGGGCGACCACATATTTGGTGCCAAGGGGCATGATGAAGGGGTGCTCCTGCGCCTTCAGAAGCTCACATTCACCTCAAGTCGGCACCACTCTAGGGGTACCTTCCCGTTTCTTTCTAGGGATCCTTCTTTCTCGAAAACCTCCAGAATCCCAGGGAAAACGGCTGGTTTTTGAAAGGAACGATGGTTGAAAAGAATGGGGAATCAAGCCCTAGAACCGTGCGTGAACCCCTGGCGGCAATCCGGGCCCTTCTGCCCAAAACAAAGGTGGCGACACTAGCTACACGTGTCGCATTACCAACACCGTGCAATCAGAGCCCTTCCTTCCATCCTTTCCTGACTCCTCCCCTTCTGCGCACCCCCCACTCTCCCTCCCTTCCTCCTCCCTTCTACCTTCTTTCACTCGTGACACAAAGAGCCTCCCTAACTCTTGGCCCAACTCGCATCCCGCCAGGTTTCGAACGGCGTGCCGATGGCTGCGGGTCCAAAATCGGGTCACCCCAAGGAATTTGCCCTGGAAAATGGAAAGATTCTGGGACTAAAACCTGCGTTCCGAGTCC